GTGTCTGCGTCTTGTCTTTGCCCTTGTACAACCTCAGCTCTTTGTTGTTCAAAACCTGTCAGGAAAGGAGAGGAAAGCTTTTGTTTTTCTGACAGCAATACTGTGTTTTCCCACCATGAGACACAAGGGAGCCAACAAACTGCCTGATTTCATGAGACAACCCATTCTGTTTGAACCTATTAACATATCGAATGGGAAACGTGATCAACTTAACGCTCCCCCAACGTATTTACTATGTTTAATGAGGCCATTGACCCCTTCCTGAGAACCTGTGATCAAATATAACATAGCTTCCCGCTGTGTTTGTTGGTGACCACCCCTTGGAGACAGGGATAAAAAGGGCAACCAGTGCTCAAGCTGAGTGGAAAATGCCTTCCATTCCTGCAAAAGCTTTCAAGAGTTTCCTCACGTGGTCAAACCCATGATTTGGAAGTTCACAGCATTTATACCGGGGTAAATCTCAGCTTTCTCATCACCTTCATGCCCCAGTGTTGCCTATTTGTGGCTAAGGGCTTGAGTAGTTGGGCAGGAAATCACATTTACTCCTTGGGACAAACCTGCTTCCCTCCTCCATGCTCCACGCCATGTCAGGTCCTGCTGAGACATGACACATCACCTGTTCCAGACTACAGTGGGCCTTCCTGATGGACATGCACTCAATGGCACCACTGATCGGAGTGGGTGAAGAATAGGATGCACAATATGAAATAATGAGTGATGTAGAGAAAGGCATCTAGAAACTATTCCCTTGTGGCAAGGGGGAAAACGTCAGTCAATAAAAGGGACATAGGGAAGGGAATTACTTGCATTCAATACGGTATAATTGCTCAGTGCAACTCAGAGTGAATGCTTGTCTCTGGAACTGAGAGGGTACACAGGTGGAGAGCAGGATGGGGAGGGTGCTCACACGAGCAACAAGAAATCCAGTGCTCTGGAAGGACCAAACTCCTTTAGAAATGAAGTCAAATGGCACTCAGTGCAACAGAGGACAGGTAACAGGTCCTTGCCCTCCACTGCTCAGGGAATGTGGGAATGCTGGACTGCATTTCCCAACACAACAACCCACCTCAAGGCACCAGATTTCGAGAAGAACTGAAAAAGCCCCAAATGAAGGTCATGATGAGTAACTCCTCAGGTCCAGAGAGCTTCCTAACGTAATGGAGCTATAATCTGCCTCTGTAAACACACCGGTGACCTCTTTGCTCTTTTCAGAACTAAGAAACTCTTCGTCCCTCCCCTGCCTGAGCCATCCACGTCCCTGGAACGTTCTTGTTTAGTCTCCTGAAATGTTATTAACAACCTCAGCAACAGAGAGCCATAAATCCCTGCATCCCCCTGAACTTTACTGCACTCCAAACTGTTTGGATATTCAGTATCAACAAATCATCCCGATAAATATGATTTCTTTGATGGCATTTCATCAAAATAGTTTACGACTCTGACATTTGGAGCTGGGATTTACAGCAGCTGCAGCTCGTGCGAGGCAGGCGGTCACCTCATTGAAATTCACCTAAGGAAGGAGAGAGGCAAAGCCAACAACCTTGCAGCAGCTCCTCAGGCTGACTTTAAAGAGATTCTTCCTTGTCCTTCCCACACTTTCTTGGATAAGGCAGGACTCTGGGGATCCACAAAACAAACATGAGCTTTGGCTCATCCTAATCTATACAATAACGGGTCAGGCCTCCAGCTATCATACAGAGTCATAGAATGGTTTAGGTTGGAAGAGACCTTAAAGCTCATCCAGCTCCAACCCCTGCCACGGGCAGGGACCCCTTCCACTGGAGCAGCTTGCTCCAAGCCCCTGTGTCCAACCTGGCCTTGAACACTGCCAGGGATGGGGCAGCCACAGCTTCTCTGGGCACCCTGTGCCAGCGCCTCAGCACCCTCACAGGGAAGAGCTTCTGCCTAAGGTCTAATGCATATGTCATATAATGTACATGTCAGCATCTGGCAGTAGTCGTAAGCCTGTGATTGCAGGGGTGACCTTCTGCCAGCTTCATACTGAAGAGGTAGAAATGGCAGCCTTCTGGACCCTCATCTTTTCTTCCAAGTTACACAAAAGGTGTTTTACTGCTTCCTTCAAAGGCAAAAGGGCTCATCTAGTTTGTGTACGTCTCTTGCTGGACTGAACCGCTTCTTCATCGAGAGGATCTGAAAACACCTGAGACACAAGAGGGAAACTTCACATTTAGTGGGGGATTTAGTGCCATTGAGAAACAGCACTGGTGGCATCTCTAGAATGTGTATAGACTCTTGAACCTGGTGTTTAAAACCAGCTCTGGGCAGGTAAGGAGGGAGGTTGGGAAGTGGAGACTTGGCCACAAAAGAAGAGAAGAAAGTAGCTTTGTTTAAATGTTCAAACAAGTCTAAGAAGGAAGGTGATCTATTCTATACGTGACTGCTGAGAGCAGCCTCAGCGGGAGGATAGGTATCAGGTTAAAAGACAAAAGGACACCTGGGGTTGACTGGCCATGAACCAATCACTGCAGCAATGGAGCTCTGGAATAGCCTCTCATTAGGAAACACAGGGACAACACAAGGACACTTGTCTGCCCATGAAGGGTTGTGTGTGGTTGGTTTTGTGAAGGAGACAGTGACTGGACTTCAGGACTGCAGTCCCTGTCAAGCTTTGAAATATTCAGGTTTAAATAACCGGATAAAGGCTCTTCACGCTCAGCTGAGAGGAACTGAGACACTGCGACCACATCTTCAAAGACAGAAAGCCTCTAATTTCAGGCTCCAGCTACTTCGGGGTGATCAGGTCTACATGGGTTGGCAAAGACCACGTAGGCAATCCACAATACCAGCCAGAAGTGAGGAGCTGGGACCTTCAGAAATGTGCTGCTACCCAGGAAATCATCCTTCTACTAGACTCAAATGCAGGACAACATTCCTGCTCCCATGTTTCCATGAAATACAGAATCCAGGGGGGTGGCCCAACACATTAGCCTTGAATATGTGAACACCTTGAAAATATCCACACAAAGAGGAGCTTATCCATCAGAGGCCCTGGTAGGGCAGGCGATTCTTGCTGTACATCATCCCTTTGCATCGCCTACAACAAGCAAGAGTCCTCTTGGTGTCTTTTCCCCCTATAGCCCTCCACTACAACAAGAAATGCATGCTTGAGCCAGAGCATTTCTTTCGCTGCTGGATAAATCTTCATCCTGATGACTTTAACTTACACCAGAGGCTGATCCTGAGGAAATGCAGCTCTTGGGAAAGGTCAGTTTCGACGAAATAGCTCTTTTTCAATTGCCTTTTAGAAATGCACTTGTGTAACACGTAACAAAGGGATTTTTGAGGGTCTGCCTCTCGGATCTTTAATCCAGGTCATGACAATATTCTCCATTACAGTATCCTGGCTTTAACTTAACCTTTCCGGCTCGCACTGAAATTTCTCCTTCTCCACAAGATGAATTTCTCTGACCCTCAAAGGACCTGCAGTGTAATGCTCAGAGGTCTCCACTTCGCTGCTCCCAACTGTCTCGTACACCAAAGCTTCCCAAGGGAGCCATGTCTCAGAGAATTCCATGAAGGCTGCGATGAGGAAACACAGTCAAAGGCTTTTTGACAGCCATAGGAATGAAAGGAAGCTGCCTTTCCTTTATGTGCAGTCAGTAGCAAAGGGCACATGAAATGGCACTACTACTTCAGCATTTTATATTCAAGATTTGCTTTATCCTTTTATAAACAGTATTAATTTCCCCTTTGCTGTACTGGGACCTGCCTGTGCATCAGAACTGCGTACAAGAGAAGGAATAGGGGAGAAAAAGTGAATCCCAGAGCAAAATAAAGCAGCTCAAATATCAATGGAGTTGCTATGAATGGTTGATGGAGGCACCTTTGCAGACATCCTGCTCCTTGATGGCTGAAGGTTTTCCCTTTTGTTCCTATTAAACTAATGAGATCCATAATGCTGTATTTATGGTACCAAGAGCAGAATGATTGACAGGTCTCAGGGCATGTACATCACTGGAAAATCATTTGTAAGCTGAGGGATTTCGGAAAGGAAGTTTGCAGAGATCTAAATCCTGCTGTTGTTCAACGTTTTGAATGTGGATCTACAAATACATACGAAAAAAAACCCGAAAAAGTTACAGGTAAAGCTTCAGTGAACAAATAAAGTCAAGCCATGATGAGGACTGGGCAACCAAACAGAGCCTGAGTTAATAAAATGCATTTTCTTGCTGTGCTGATGCAGTCACACACGTATAGCGTAAGACAGGCAGGACGGCCACAACCAGGGAATGACAGACCAAGAAAAGAGCAGCTCTTTACAGGATTGAAGACTCAGAGAGGATTGGAAGCACAACACAAGCTCCTGTTGCAACCAAATCACAGCCCAGATTAATGGCATCCTTAAAAGCAATGGCTCAGAGCAGAGAGCACAGCGCTGGCGAGACAGGCGCTGGGATCTGGTGCGCTTAAAGGACCGACAAACTTCAGATACGGTGCCAGAATCAGAGCATTGGTTGGAAATGTCTTTTAATGAAGCTGGGGTTCACCTTTCCTGACTCGTGATGCCTAAAGCTGATGTGAGATCAATGCTCTCTGAGGTGGGTTAGAGAGCTGAAGTCTGTAAAGGCAGAAGAAAGCTGGCTGGCTGGCATTGTGGCAGAGGTATGATGTTTCTACAGAGCCTGGGTGATGACAGAGCACCCTGGCCAGCAGAGATGAGCGTGTCGAGGCAACGCAGAAGCCAAAAATAAGCAAAAGAGAAATTAAAGACAAATTTATTGAGAGGAAAGAAGTTTGGCCTGAACCCCAAAGGAGAGTGCTCAGTCTCCCCGTTCTGGTGAAAAGCAAGCTTGAATGGATATAACATTTGGATCAACAGTGTACTTAGCCTGAAGCCAGGAGAAATAACGTGACTTCACACAGTGTTAGGGAAGCCTTCCAACCAGGTGATCCTGTGATCCCTGTTGACCTCCCCCTCAGCCAGCAGCTCTTTACATGTTAGAAGATGCACCTCTCACTTAAAACCATGCTCCCAGACCCACAGACCCGTTGGCTGGGCCTGTGCTTCTGCAGCAAACTCCAGACACAAGTGGTAAGGAAGAAAATGACTCTTCCCTCCACGAACTGCTTGCTAAGTCAGAAGAAGGTGCAGTGATGGGAGCAATAAAATACGGGATCTAATCTATGCACCTGCTGCAATCTTGCCTCTCTTTCCTAGTACAGGCAGCCTGGGCGTGATTTACAGCCATGATTTACGTCTCCTTTCCATGCCGTGGATGCTTGTGCACTCCCCTTGAAGCAATCTAAGCTGAGCATGATATGAAAAAGGAGAGACTGCGTCGTATTTCTGTCACGCTGCTTGTCAGACAGATCCAAAAGGCAAACTCTGGTGAGTTGAGCTTCCTTTCGCTTTAATCCTAGGAGACTTTCAGTTCAAAGTGCCTTTCTGTACCTCTCTGAAGGGAGGATGAGGGGCAGGGAGTCTCCTGAAGTGAGTACACGACCTGTGCTTTGCCTTTAGACTTTGAGATCAGGGTATGAGGATTTGCTTATTTTCCTTAATAATGTAGGTCTAGCAAAGGCAGAATAGATGAAGCTATGTCTTCCCCTTCTCCATTTCATGGTTCTGCCTCAGAAAGAGGAAAGTGAAGGTTTAACCCTACTTACAGCAAACCAGTCTTGTTTCTTAGCCGCAGGGCTGCGATGAGAGCACAGCGCTGAGATTCAGGCATCACCAAACACTAGAGAGTGCTGCCTTAATAGATCCTTGTCATCACTTCACCTTATCTCAGAGGAGATGTGGACCAAAGGATGCTGGACCGGTGATCATAGATTCACAGCCTGATTTGGATTGGAAGGGACCTTAAAGCTCCTCCAGCCCCAACCCCTGCCACGGGCAGGGACCCCTTCCACTGGAGCAGCTTGCTCCAAGCCCCTGTGTCCAACCTGGCCTTGAGCACTGCCAGGGATGGGGCAGGCACAGTTTCCTTGGGCAGCCTGTTCCAGTGCCTCAAGTGCACATCTCAAACATACTGGAACTCAAGGCTCACAATAATCACTCCATGACGACCGCAGCTCAGAATGAAGCCGACAGCTCATTAGACAAGAACATGTAGGCAATTAATGTTCACTTCAGTTGACAACTGTGACCCGATGGCTGCCTGAAACAGCATGGGCTGTCCTAAGTGAATAGTTCTCATAGCTGTTTAATTAATGCTAAACAGACCTTTTGTTGTCGCTGTTGTTTAAAAATCAAAGAGGGAAGAAAGCAGTGTGGATTTGCCTTGCCACATGTACAAAACGCGTTCTGGAGGGCCAGCACTAACAACCTTGGTGACAAAGCACATGTGCATTGCTTCATCCTTTCATTCCCAAGGCATGAGATGGGAAGTGAAGCACCGTGTATGATCTTGTCATGAGAGCCTGGGAAGCATCCAGCCCAAGAGAAGCTGCTCCAACTGGGCTGGAAGAAAAACTCAAGCAGAGCCTGCGTGCTCTGCCCGTGGTTTCAGAAGTGCAGACATCTCCTGGAAGCTCTTGACTCAGATCATTGTTCTGATGCTTCATCAGATGTTTCCTGCATTGCTTTTGACCAAGGACATGTGTTTGTAAAGAAGTGCTCCAATGACTCTGCCTTTTGCTCTCCTGCATTTCCAAACATACATATCCCAATCCCTCAGCAATGTCCTGGTGCATCCAGTAGACTTGTCCCACACGTACAGAATCGTAGAATGGTTTGGGTTGGAAACGACCTTAAGATCATCCAGTTCCAACCCCCTGCCACAGGGAGGGACGCCTTCCATTAGAGCAGGATGCTCCAAGCCCCTGTATCCAACCTGGCCTTGAACACTGCCAGGGATGGGGCAGCCACAGCTTCTCTGGGCACCCTGTGCCAGCGCCTCAGCACCCTCAGAGGGGAGAACTTCTGCCTTATCTCCAACCTGAACTTCCCCTGTTTAAGTTTGAACTATCCCCCTTGTCCTATCATTACAACCTGTGATGAAGAGTCCCTCCCCAGCATCCTTGTAGCCCCTTTCACACACTGGAAGCTGCTCTGTGGTCTCCATGCAGCTTCTCTTCTCCAGGCTGAACAGCCCCAGTGTTCTCAGCCCAATCTTCTCATCACTGAGTATTACCAACATCTATTTCATCATCACCTTTATAGATAGAAACTCTGCAAGCCCACAGCTGAGAACAGAGAAGGAGCTTGTGAGGTGGTACCCAGCTGTGAAGATCACACAAGTGGCAGGATTGCTGTCCCTTCCTCATCCACCTGCCTTCTCCCCGAGCCTTTCTTTTCTTTCCTCTAGCCACACAGGACTTTCTTAACCTCTTTGGGAACTTCCTGTCCTCCTTCTCCCTCATTTTCAGCAGGAGTTGTTTGCCATGTGAAGGCTTCTTGGTGGAGTCACTTGGGTACTAATCTGAAACCGCTTCCACCACAGCTGTAAATCTGGATCCCACAACACAAGGGCTGTCATGTGCTCTGCCACCAAACCAGAGGAAAAACCTTGTCAGAGCCCAAGGGCTTGAAGATCCTTTTCTTGCCATTGCCTTATGTCTGGGCACCATACCAGATCTCCAATAGGCACGATGGTGCAAGTGCTGGAGACGCACTGGGGCATATCTATGTGTTTTGCATAGCTCCAACCAGCAGGATCACCCACGGGACTGGATGTGGAATGTTGTGAAGAAGACAGAGGCCATTGTGCTAATCCTGCCCTGTCCCTAAACCCCTGGTTTGTTTATCCCATGGGAGGGTCATTGCAGGGCATTCTGCCTGGTAGAGAAGAGCACGAAGGGCCTCATGGGTTGAGCCCCATCATGCTGAGCCAGCAGGAAAAGCCTTGCTTGCCTTCCAGCCCAGCCAAGGCATCTGAGACGTGTGGCTCTGAATCCCCCCTCTCTCCTTTTCAGGCTCCAGCAGAAAATCCCTCCATCCATGAGGGTTCCTGCCGACCTCACTCATGTTTTCCCAGCACCACAAGGGCAGGATATGGAGCTACCGGGAGCCAGCCTGGGAGCCAAGCTGATTAAGTCCATTGGCCCTGGCCCAAATCCAGTGTGAAACCCCTCCTCCCATGCTCACCTTCCAGAGTCAATGATCCCTTTATCAAGCAGGCAAATTGCTAACTCCCCTCTGGCTCTGACCGCTCCAAAATACCTCCAGGGCTCAGAGAGGGGAAGAAGAATACCCCATCTCCATTGAGACCTCAGCGCTGCCTCTTAGCTCCTCAGGTTTCTTGCTGAAGTCCTGCCTCTCTTTTATGTTGCTTCAAAAAAAAAGAGGAATCATTATCATCTCTTTGCTTATATTCCTCTCTGCTCCAGCTCTGTTCAGCCATAATGGGGATTCTCTGAGAGAAACAGCTGATAGCATCACTTCTCAGGCAAAGAGGCTTCACTCTCACCTCGGCGGGTCCACAAGGGTCCTGGCACGGTGGTCTGGCATCCCAAAGCACAACCCGTCTCCCCAGGGGTGCGTGCTTTGCAAGGAGCAATGCTTTGGGGGGTAACTGCACAAAAGCCACCAGAACACAGGGAGCAAACAGGGCCAAAGCTATTAGAGCTTGGAGAGTGCTGCTTATAGGTATCGCTTTCCCCCCTTCCCTGAACGCATAGGAACAAAGAGTTCCATGGAATTTGGATTATTTAACATAGTAAACATTAAGCAACTTGTGGTTGATGTAAATGCATCCTTAATAGGCTGGTGAAATTCCTTGGGACCCGTCCAAGTTCGGGTACAACCTCCAGCTCTGCTCTCACAGACATCATCTCCCTGCTCCCCTCTGGATGCTTTCTTTAATGCCACAGTAGCAGACGAATGTAATTTGGAGCAGAACAGAGCTGTGATCTGCACTGGGAGCCCGGTTCCTAGCTTGGGACTTAGTCTCCTATTCATTGTGACTAAGTGTCACATGCCTGGGTCCCCATCCTTCGAGCAATGAATGCTGAAATACTTAATTCAAAGTGAGAGAGCTTAAACATGTGCTGAAAAGCTGGTCCAGGCTGTCTTAAAGGTCAATGGCTGGGTTATGCTGGTGGTGGTGAGTCAAACGCATTTGTACTCTAACTGCAGGCTTTGTAGGTATACTGAGAGGGTTTCTGTGGTTGGGACATGTGAAAGCCCAGGGAGGTGCTCCTGGGACATGTTGGAGGGGAGGCGTTATGAGATGGTTGGGCTCGCAGCTGCTGAAGGGCTCCTTGCCACATGGTCCTGCTCCTGCCCTCACATTGACTCTGGCACTCTTTGAACCCCTGTTCTGGCTCCTTTCTTTGGCACAGAACTAAACCAGAAAAGAAAGGTCAGTGGTTTTCTGAGAGTTCAGTAAGCACCAGAGCTCCTGCAACAGGGCAGATGGGACCAGGAAGAACTGCAGGTTTCTGTTAGAGCATCCTACCTCTCCTCTGAAGCCCCACCAGCAACTCTGCTGAGACCCCAATCTGGGAATCCCAATGAGGCCTTCCTGGGAGTCAGAATCTTTAGGATTTGCCTGGTTTAGGATATATCCTCCAACAGAAAGGGAGGTCCTTAGCGAGGCTTTAGAAGCATCTAACAACAGGCAGGGCCTCAAAGTTGAAGAGTTCTCAGGGGGAAGCTGAGATTTCAGATTTAGTCAAATACATGATTTTCAGACGATGATTTCCAGGCTATGAAGGCATTGGGCTGCATGAAACGTCCTTACAGGTAGCATCACAAATGGGAACGGGGAAGAAAAGACCTTGTCTATGACTATACTGAAGTCTTAAACTCCAAGGTTTTAAAATGTGGCTTTTTCTTTAACTTGATGAATGAACATTGGAGCGAACAATACAGCATATATGAAAGGAATTTAAAAATGAAATATATAGACTTTTTTTTTCCTTTGGTCCAATCAGTTCTGCGCATAATTTCAGTCTCTCAAGAATTTATCAAAATCTCTGCCCCAAATCAAGGTTTCCTCAGTTTTACAGCAGTTTTAGCTAAAAGGATGGTTTTTTAGCACCGTGATTTGTTTTTTCCACTGAGATTTGCTACATAAAGCAGGAACTTTGTTTAAAGCTTTGGTTAAACCAAATAATCAGTTCTGAGCCGGAAACCGGTTGGGATGGAAAAAAGCCCCATCCCATCAGACCTTTGCAGACAGAGCTCACATCTGGTCCTGAGCATCGCCGTGCTGTTTTCAGCTTCTCTGCTGTAAGGGCCTCTCAGATTTAAGGGGTACCTGCACATTATTGCCATTCCCCACCCTCACCCAGAGGTATGTGCAGCTCCTGACTGAAGATGGAATACTTTATAGGAAGACTTTATTGCTCTTTACCTGCATGAAAGGAGGTTGTAGCTAGGTGAGGGCTGGTCTCTGCTCCCAAGGAACAAGGGATGGGACAAGAGGAACCGGCCTCAAGCTGCCCCAGGGCAGGTTTAGATGGAGCTGAGGAACAATTCCTGCCCCAGAGGGTGCTCAGGCATTGGAACAGGCTGCCCAGGGCAGGGCTGCAGGCACCGGCCCTCCAAGTGTTCACACAGTGTGGAGATGAGGCCTCAGTGCCATGGGGCAGTGGTGGCCTTGGCAGTGATGGGAATGGCTGGACTGCTTAAAGGTCTTTTCCCATCTAAACAATTCTATGATCCTATGATTGGATACATAGACTGGGATGTGCAAAACCCATTTGGTCTGCAAGCCATGTGCCATGGTGCATTGAGTTCATACTGTTAACTACCTCTGTCCTCCCATAAATCAACAGCCACCCCCAAACGCAGCACACACACGTACTCCTTCCCTACCCACCCTTCTGCTGCTTTCAGCTCCATCAATGACTTTAGGCTCCTGGATGCAAGCTGAACAGGGTCAGGTGTACTGCAGAACTGCTGTGATGGGCTGGTTTGCTTTTTACATCCTCATTCAGATGAATCTCAGTAGCAAATCCATATATTCTTCCTTGCCTGGATGACTGTGACCACTAACACATCCTGCGAGGCATTTGGTGCAGAAGCAATCTTGCAACCCCTGGGGAGAAGCTTCCTCTCCACATGGCAAATCACTCCCTGCTTGTTTGCATCCCTTTTTCCCTCCCTGTCTTTTGGATGCCTGTCAAGCAGTAAGGAGACAGTGTTTCCTGTGTCACGGGAGCCTGGGGCTGAGCCAGGCTGCCGGGCTCCCATTGAGCTCCCTGTGCTGGGAAGAAGAGGGGCTGTCATTCCCATCAAAAGCAGGTGCTGACTGAAGCCCAGGGCCACCCTCACTTGAACACCAGCACAATTACACCTGGATTCCCTCCCTTCAAGCCTGTGGAAGGAGGAAAAGCAGCTAGATTTACCATTTAGTCCCATATTTCCTTATAACTTCCCCACATCCCTCTTTCTCATGGCATGGAACTCAAAGCCAGTCGCCACCGTCAACACAATAACTTGCAAAGCTCATCTTTGTTACAGATGGTCAAGGTGGTAGGTTGGATAGG